GCCAGGACCGGAGATCAGAACCGGGGACCAGGACCTGTGGTGTAGCGTCTCCACTGCAGCACAAAGCTATAATCCTGACGCACTGAACCTGAACCTGAGCCAGGGCCACACGGAGCTGCTCTTTCTCTGTCATTTACTATCATTACACTGTTATATAACAGTATTCATAATTATAATATATAATATATATAATTATTCTGTCATTACAGTATCATTACAGTATTATCACAGTATTATCACAGTATCATTACAGTACACAATACAATACAATACAATTTATTCTTGTATAGGCCTAGGTCACAACAGAAGTCATCTCAGAGACTTAACAAAACCATTGAAATCACCAACACAGGTCAGAGAATCAACAGTTAAAACACATGAAGAATATAAAGCACACACAGAAGAAAATGTCCATACATGTATGATTACAGTATCATACAGTATTATGTACAGTATCATCACCAGATCATTACAGTTATTACAGTAACATTCCAACAGTATTATTACAGTTATTACAGGATTATTACAGTATCATTACCAGTATTATTACAGTTATTACAGGACCTTGGAGGAGATTATTACAGTATCATTACAGTATTATTACAGTATCATTAAGGGATCCGCTACAGTATTATTACAGTTATTACAGTATCATTACAGTATTATTACAGTATCATTACAGTATTATTACAGTATCATTACAGTATCATTACAGTATTATTACAGTATTATTACAGTATCATTACAGTATTATTACAGTATCATTACAGTATCATTACAGTATCATTACAGTATTATTACAGTATCATTACAGTATCATTACAGTATTATTACAGTTATTACAGGATTATTACAGTATCATTACAGTATTATTACAGTATCATTACAGTATCATTACAGTATCATTACAGTATTATTACAGTATCATTACAGTATATTCAGTTACAGTATCATTACAGTATCATTACAGTATCATTACAGTATTATTACAGTATCATTACAGTATTATTACAGTATTATCACAGTATCATTACAGTATTATTACAGTATCATTACAGTATCATTACAGTATTATTACAGTATCATTACAGTATCATTACAGTATTATTACAGGATTATTACAGTATTATTACAGTATCATTACAGTATCATTACAGTATTATTACAGTTATTACAGTATCATTACAGTATTATTACAGTATCATTACAGTATCATTACAGTATTATTACAGTTATTACAGGATTATTACAGTATCATTACAGTATTATTACAGGATTATTACAGTATTATTACAGTATTATTACAGTATCATTACAGTATTATTACAGTATTATTACAGTATCATTACAGTATCATTACAGTATTATTACAGTTATTACAGTATCATTACAGTATTATTACAGTATCATTACAGTATTATTACAGTATCATTACAGTATCATTACAGTATTATTACAGTATTATTACAGTATCATTACAGTATTATTACAGTATCATTACAGTATCATTACAGTATCATTACAGTATTATTACAGTATCATTACAGTATCATTACAGTATTATTACAGTTATTACAGGATTATTACAGTATCATTACAGTATTACAGTTATTACAGGATTATTACAGTATTATTACAGTATTATTACAGTATCATTACAGTATCATTACAGTATCATTACAGTATCATTACAGTATCATTACAGTATTATTACAGTATCATTACAGTATTATTACAGTATTATCACAGTATCATTACAGTATTATTACAGTATCATTACAGTATCATTACAGTATTATTACAGTATCATTACAGTATCATTACAGTATTATTACAGTATCATTACAGTATCATTACAGTATTATCACAGTATCATTACAGTATCATTACAGTATCATTACAGTATTATTACAGTATCATTACAGTATTATTACAGTATCATTACAGTATTATTACAGTATTATCACAGTATCATTACAGTATCATTACAGTATTATCACAGTATCATTACAGTATCATTACAGTATCATTACAGTATTATTACAGTATCATTACAGTATTATTACAGTATTATCACAGTATCATTACAGTATTATTACAGTATTATTACAGTATCATTACAGTATCATTACAGTATTATTACAGTATCATTACAGTATTATTACAGTATCATTACAGTATTATTACAGTATCATTACAGTATCATCATTACAGTATTATTACAGTATTATTACAGTATCATTACAGTATTATTACAGTATCATTACAGTATTATTACAGTATCATTACAGTATTATTACAGTATCATTACAGTATCATTACAGTATCATTACAGTATTATTACAGTATCATTACAGTATTATTACAGTATCATTACAGTATTATTACAGTATCATTACAGTATTATTACAGTATCATTACAGTATTATTACAGTATCATTACAGTATCATTACAGTATTATTACAGTATCATTACAGTATTATTACAGTTATTACAGGA